TATTCACTTTATGTTCCGTTGGGGTGGGAATTAAAACATTAGGAGCACTTTGAATAAGTGCAGAAAAAAGGAGTAGAGCAAACATTCTGAAAAACTATTGTAAATTAAGCACTGCCTAACAGATACTAGTGGTTGAGTATAATGTCAAACAGCTTCAGCCCTCAGTCCTCCCCTGCCCCCAAGCAGCTGCACCCCACCCCAGCTTCAGCTCATTAACAGAAGAAGGTATTATACAAATTGTATAAAGCATTCAGTGAACAGTACTTGTTTCAGTCGGTCATTATGGTATGTTAATCCTTGCTGGAGCCTTTTGCCTTTTTACCATTTCCTCACCAGGACGGGCAGGCAATGCACTGAGACCCCAGGACTATTCCCATTTACCTCGGATTCACTGAGCCAAGCGCAAGTGCTGCAAAACCTACCAAGTGTGTACTCGCTGGGCGGGCAGGTCCTTGGGTGATGCCCTTGGGACAACCATCAGTATTTAACAGGTCTGGACAGCTACAAACCCATCGCATTTGTATTAGAAAAGAAACAAATATTTTGCAATGCCACCTCATTACAAAGAGAAAATGCAACATAGGTTTGGGATGAGGATGCAACCTAATTCAAATAAATTATGAAGCTTCCCTGTGCTTTATATCAACTGGGGACCTGATGCTACTTTTCTTACAGTTACGAAAATCACTGTGGATATTTCTACAAAATTTAGCCCTTCTTTGGATGAAATGCTGACATTTTATATAAAAAATAATGAAAAAAAATGAGTTGTGTTCAAAGGCAAACTAGTGGGTAAAAATATAAAGAAGCAGCAATCTATACAGACAACACCAGCTTCCAAGAAGTGACCTTTGCAGTTGCCAAAATTAAACATCCCTTTGAATGTTTCTGACTGCCTTTATCAGAGACAGTGGCTGGTCTAGGGAACATGGTACCAAACTGGGCTATAAGAGAACTTGCTTCACATCCCCTCTCCCAAAGGTTTTTTGCTTGATCTTGGGCAAGTGAATTCATTTATCTATTTTACAAGCTGATTGACTGCTCCTCCCTGGACTCTTTGAAAGACACGTGTTAACTATCACAGGTCATTCAGATTCTGCAGGGGATAAAGACCTCTTAAGTACTGAAGACAGCCTGTCCATGTAATTTTTTTTAATACATACTAATTCACAACCAAGTGCATGGCAACCAAAGCTGAAAGGGCATTGGGAATCATCTGAGAAGGCAGAACTAAGAGCAAAAGACTTTTGTAGGAAATGAAGAGCTGGTAATTACTTCTGTAAAATTCTTTTTCCAAGAAAAAGAAACAGGTTAAATGCCCAACAGAAGGGGACAGTGAATAACTGAACAGCATCAATCTGATGAATTACTTTTATTTTCGTTCTGTTTCCTTCCAGTATTACTTTTTCAATTAGGCAGGCATCGCCAACCTGAGAGACAGAGACCAGTAACCTATGAGGCTACTTAGAGCATCTGGTAGTGTACAAAGCCTGAGAGCTGGTGGGTGAGAACAACGCACTCTCACTGCTGGGAGTCACTTAACACTTATTGAGGAGGAAGGCAGTAACTGTGCCTTCAGCTGAAGGCTCCAGATTCTTCCCTTTTCCACAGGAAGGCAAAAGTTCTTCAGAAAAGCCGGCGGTTAGTTACTCATACATCATGCATTCAAAGAGAAATTAGCCTGTGGTATAGAACGCAGCTGACTGAAGAAGTTCACTGCATTTGCCTTGAGGAGTCTGACTCAAAGACAAATAGAGGACTGACTCTAAATCACAGTCCTTTTCACGGTCTCGCAATTCTTAGTATCTCCATTGGTCACGTACACTGTGTCCATCCTTAGCAAGTAAAGCATTTCCAGAGAGCATGAATTAGCTTTCTGCCTTTTCACATGACGCAAACCCAGCTGAGTCTTGTGATGAGGAACAAGCAGTAGCAAGAAGGTTATAGGGGAGACTAGGTGCTCTCCCAAGGTACTGCAAACTGAAAAGAGGTGTTCCCTGAAGGCAGCGTGGCCTCTTGCACCATTTGCATGGAACTGCAGTTGCTGAAGGAGGTTCCATAAGTTTCAAAGCACTACACAGTCCTAAGCCTAGGGGCATCTGTAGGCACTACCACAATGCAGAGAGGACAACTCCTTGGGTTTAGCTATGACCACTCGATGGCTAAGGCGCATTAGGAGGGAGGAGGGTTGCTACCTCTCCGAGGCAGAGCTGCAAAGCCTGAAGAACTGCACACGTGCAACACAGCAGCCAGTGCTCTGCCCTTCTTCCCACTGTACAGCAGCCCTCTGCTATAAGAGTCCCCACCAGTCTTCCCGACTGAGGGAAAGCAGGTTATGTCCCACCTGCCACTGTGTACTGGATCGATTGTTTTTTCTTCCTCCTTCCCCACTCACCTGCTGGTAGATGATCATGTTGTATTTGTAGTCCAGACAACCTCACAGCACATGCACCTGAGCAGGAGATGAACATTTTCCATCTAGAGAGACCAGCCTTGCTCCTTACTCTCCAGGGCTTCACCACTTCCTGTAACAGTGGGGCTCTGGCAGAAAGCCTTCACCTTTCCATTAATGAGGAGCAGATCAACGTGCTAATTGAGCATATCTCATGCTTTGAAGTCTGCATTGGGCTGCCTACTGCTTAGCAAGCCAACGGAGTTCAAGCTGTTGGTTATCATATGTAAAGCTGTAAACAGACTCAGACCAGCTCTGGGAAACAGGGGGAAAAGCATTTGAGTCAGAAGACTCAAATCCAAATCTGTGAATCCCCAAAACATCATCCACTTCCTTCCTCAGTAAATCCAAGCCCATTGTGATGTATCCAAGAGGCTGTCCCCTCTCCCTGCATCTTCTTGCCATCGCTGCAGAGTGGATTCTCACTGTTGTACAACTCCAATACTCTTCGTAAGGGCAACAAACTGTAGGCCACAGCAGGGAGCAAGGTCTTCAAACAAACTGGAACATGATGACCTTCAGGGTAGGATTAAGGAAAGCTGATCCTTGTGGCAGCAGGTCTGCACTAGATGACATTTTGAGGTGCCTTCCAGCACTTTTTCCTATGATTCTGCTTGCAAAGCCCCATTTATTAGACAGCATTTGTGGCAAAGGCAGAGCTTGTGTTCCTAGGTGGTACATGCAATATATTAGCCTGCTAACTTAATTTGTTACCTATGTAAGCTTGTCTGTGCTATCTGGTCACTATCACACAGTTCAGATTAGTTGCCAACAGTATTTAAAATTTTATTCACAGGGTTAGCATTGATAAATCACACAAAAAAACCTGACGCTATTATTAGTCAATGGTTAATAACTAAGGAAATGTCTGAGAAACTGCTCTGCAACATTTCCCTTTTGCTGCCATATAAGGCAACCTACTGTACAAGAGATGGTTGCTAATGATTATATGAGAAATAAACATGCTACAGAAAACTCCAGATTATTTTTTTTTTTCTGTATAAAAATCCAGGGAAAAATGTATTCACAATGGATATGCTCCTGATAGTTGGAGGGGGAGCTGTCTCATGAAATTCATCTTTTCTTTTAATAATCAGTCATCAGGATTTCTCAGGAAAAATTTTCAGGCCCCAGAGGCTGTCAAAGCCACTTTTGCTGACTGTGTCAAAGTCAGCCATATCTCTTTTGACAGTCTGAAAACAGATTATCACATCCTGTATTTATTTTTTTCAGGCCACATACTTCTTCTCTACATGTCAAAGTCCCAGCCAGCCAGATATTTGAACATCTATCTCAAAAAAAGACTTTGCTTTTGCAGAAAGAGGCAACAAGGAGGGAGGAGCAGAAAGGCAGGAAGAAAGCATTATTTATGGCTCTAAGTTGGGAAGATGGGTGACCGAGAGGAGGAAAATCGCATGAGGATCAGCTAGGAAGATTGTGGCTTATGCCTTCCAAAGATGCTACTTTTCAGGGTGACCTGCAAGCCAGGCAGGTGGGTGTCTTGGCTTCCAGAAACACTAGGATGGAGGGAGAAGAAGAAATGATATGGGGCACTTGCGAAACATGTTTAAGGATGTATGTTTGAAGCTGTAACTCTTCAGTGGCTAAATACAGGACAGACATCTGGCTGCTTGGTGGAAGAACAGGGATTGTATCGGAGTATTTGCCCAGAGCTATAACAATTTAAGGAAGTATCAACAGCCTTTCATCAATAGTTAGATTGCCAAGGGGCAGGGAAACACAAGTCTACCTACAGATCTGAAAATATATGTAAGTTTGTGGGATACTGGTCATACTCTCATGTTTAACCACAGTAGATTTAAAATCAGAGTGACTTGCTCTCAGTTACAAAATTAACAAACATTCCGTTCCTTAAAAATAGATTTGTTTTTCCCTCAGAATGTTATTTCAGGTTGCTTCTTGGATTCTTTGACTGACAGATAGTTCACTTTATGCTGACTTATAAAAAAATAATAATAAATTCAGACCCAAACTGTCTTCTAGATGTTAAAACAGCACTGTGCTGTGAGAGAATTCATGACCACCACAATGATCTCCATTCACGTTCCCAACCTCCTGAATTACCTAAATCTCTCCATAAAGCACCCAAAGACACTCTCAATGAAAAGGTTAACAGCTATCAAGAATGTAATAAATTAAAGGACTTATTAACACATCTGGAATGGAGGAGTCAAAGGACCTGATGTCCCATAAACAACCACATATTCTTTAGAAATCACAGTAACCATTTTAATCTTGCAAAAAGTTTTGGTTATGTATTGAATACATTGCTCATGCTAATATGAATGATATTTAATATTCCTTACATTTACACTGCCAACAACTAGGTTCTTTACAGAATAAAAGATGCAAACCTTGCCATGGCAGGCTTATGGTCTTCAGAAACGAAAAAAGTGAGAGTGGAGAGACAGCAGGAAAGAAGCAGGTTAGTCTGCTATAAGCTATATTACTAAACATTGTGCATATATTATAAACACACTGGTGTGCAATGCAATTGCTAGAGTGCATTTTTTGAAGTGCCACTCACAGCCTCACAGGTAGGAAGGTCCGTTCACATCAGTGCTGCATCCCACGAGTTACAGGAAAAAGGGAAGATCCTAACAGGATACAAAGGGCTCCGTGAGTAACCATCTCCTCCCATAACCATGGAAAACTGAGATAAAACACACTCATTTAGCTATAATGTTGCTTTCATAAAATTACTGATGTAGATGAGACAAAAAAAAGCCCCACAACAAAACAGACAATGAAAGAACAGAAACTAGTAAGGGCTTTTCTTGATGTGAAATGAGGTCTCCTTTTAATCATGTTTGCTTTATATGGCTCTAAGGGGCTATGATGCTTTTGGTAAAATCTTTGAGTTGCTAAAGCATAATCTCACATCCTAGACTGAGCTTTTTAATTTATTTTGAGAATTTAAAACATTTTTACCATTCTAAGGTTATAAATTTCATGGCATCTGTATTTTCTGTCATAAATTCTGTGCACATGTATACAGAATTTCTACATATAAACATCTATAGGTAGATAGAATACACAGTCAACTTTTTATATATACTTGTATATAACTTACATAGTAGGCAACATATTTTATGTATATGTATTATTATTTTATAGCATACTGTGCTATGCCCTCTCCCATTAATACACTGCAAAACTCATTGTACTACCTAAATAACAAGTAACAACAGAGGATGTTCATTATGCATCTTGGACTTGATACATAACTACAGCTTTCCTCTTTTATGCCTATTTAATTAAATTGTAATGAAATAAGAGTGCAACACAATTCTAAAACTAGAAAATCTGAATAATGAACCAGCTATACTGTACCATGATTCTCTAACACCTAACCCCAATATCTTAAAAGCACTTTAAAGGCTTGATCTGCATATTTATCGGTTTCCCTTTGAATCTGGAAAAGTGGAGTAGCTCTTGAAAATTTTCTGTTAACTGCTCTGAAACATCTGTTAAATAACTCTTTGAGAAATTATGAAATCAAAAGACTATCTTTAATAGATATTTTTTCTTTATGTCTCTTCCATATACAAATTCACAAGTGTATACTAATATATCACCCCTAAAGACCAACAGTAAGCTTCAAATTACTTTGAGTGGAAACTGAATTTTATTCCTACAGGCACAATCCTGCAGATGCCCAACTCTACTGCTTACACAGAAAATGAAGCCAGAATAAAGGTTTCCAAATGAGAAAGGAAAAAGAAAAAACTCTTCACATAATAAAAATAAATAATAAGATGCAAGAACACACACACACAGAGGACGCCTGTCTCGGTGCTACAGTAAGGAATCATTATTTGAACTCATGTTTCTGGTTGGTTTTCATCCCACCAGAACCCTATCAACAAAATGATAACCATATATTACAGGCTGCCTACTTACTGTTAACACACACTTACTCCTGCCAACGCTTGTTCTACAGAAAACATTATCAGTGTGCAACCATAAATGAACAAAATTACCATCTGCACACTGAAGAACAGAATTGCAAACATAATTATATCTCTTACATGTTGTAAGTACACAGTTGTTTTAAATTTGGACTTATAACCTGTTTTTCAAATAACAGCTTCAGTCTGCTTCCAAGTCACCAAGGTAATGGCTGTAATAAGTAGCTATACCTCCTAATCAGCAAATGTCACAATAAGCATAGTGCATCTATCTATCTAATCTTTTTTGGCCACATTATTATGGTTTATGAGCAGTTTTACCACCCATATGTTATGCTGTCATGTTGTTCTAAAAGCTGGTTATTAGGATTAACTCGAGAAAGTGAAATATGAATGCCTGTATAAACTGCAGAGCTGAATGCCGCTAAAAGCAAAGTGTCCTAGGTCAGAGGAAGACATGTCGTGCATTGCAGGCCATGCCACTTCTTTTGGAAGGAAACCCACGGAATTTGCTCTGGCCTCTGTGAAGCTTTCTGACTCATTGCATAGTTGGTTTCATATGGAAAACAACAGCTTACCCTCATTTATTTCTACTCTACTAATATCTACCATAGACGTCTGTACAAAACAGTAGAATCAATTCCTCTTCCCACCAACTTCAAAGCCAGATGCTATAATGACTAAATGACTAACCGTGTTAGTCATCACATTAAAACCACTGTACCTTATGAAGAATTATTGATATTCCTCTCTGACCTTAACAATACACCAAAATTCAGAGGACTATTTTCATTAGGAAAAAAAGTTCATGCTGAAATCAGATGTATGTAGATGCAGACACCTTCATTTTTGTTACAAAATACAAGAGATACACCATAGGGTTTAACAACAAAGCAAAAAGAAATCCCCAAACACCAAAAACCACAAAAACCACTTGGGGATCTATAACCCACAATGGATTATGACTTGCATAAGAACCAATATTGTAAGGCTGTTTGGGGCCAGGGGAGGACACACAAATCTTGTTCCATGACGCGGTAGCAGAAGTGCTGTATGCAAAAGACAGGAAGCAATTACTGTCCTCTGCTCAGCACTAAGGAGGCACCAGCTGGTGCTTGGGGCATTGTGTGGACAGAATATAGAAGTAAGCAACATATTTAAGAGTGGTGCTAAAGCTATGACCAGGAAGGAGAGACTGAAAGGTGGAGTTTCCTAGTCTTGGTAAAAGGGGAGAGTTTTCTGAGAGGAAAACATTCTTGTAAACAAGGACAGTGGTCTTTTTCTCCGTGTATGGACAAAAAAAACCTGGTTTAACATGCAACTAAAAAAAAAATAATAAAAAGAACAATTCTGTGATTCTCATTAATAAGAGGAAAAACCTTCTAACTAAAAGGACCACTAAGCATGGAAGCAGACTTCTGCATGCAATCTGCTTTGCTACAGATTTTTAAGAAAATATCCCATAAGAGATAATGTAACTATAAATAATTCTCCATCCTAGTGGAACTTGGTGACCTTTAGAGATGTCTTCTAGCAGAAGCAGTGTAAGAAGTGCTGCTGTCCACACAGCAGAGAGGACGAGATGAGCCCATTCCCTCTGTAACGTGGCTTCCCACCTCAGCTGAGCAAGAGGGGCTGGCAGGGCTTGGTGCTCCCACCCAACGGGCCGGAGGAGTCACCCCCACAGTTTCTCGGCCCTACAGTCTGGTGTTTTTGAGACTGAGAAAACCAGGCTGCGTGACAGTGCTGAACAACAAAATGTCCATCATCCTGCATGCAGCAGTCAAACAAGAGATTTTCTTCACAAGTCCACTTGTCAGCACATCGTCCAAAAGACCTCTGCTGTTTCTTAGAGCCATCTTCCTGCTGTTTCTGTAACTACATCTGGCCATTTCTCCTATCCTCTGCCCTGGCTTTCCAAGCCTTCTCAAAGCTTTGCATGGACAACAGCTCTCTGAGGACTGCGGGGAGCAGTCTGCTGCTCTTGCAGGAGCCTGGATACATAAAGAAGCTAAATGACCTCTTAACACCTTTCCTGGCAGCAAGGCTGAGATGTACCCACAGCGTATTATGATGTATCAGTAAAGCACTAGCTAGGACACTTCCGTGACACCTCTAGCTACATTATTGCAATAGCAATTTCAATATTGTAAGTTCACACATTTCTCCAGGGCGGACTCTTCTCTGTTCCCAAGTTCCAGTATCCTTCCTTTCTGATATCCACATCTTTAAATGTCTCTTCTGTCACTGCAGAAGGATTCCTTCAAGAGAACATGAAGCTTATAAACTGTCTGAGGTGAAACCTATTTTGGTAGCTGCTTCTGAGATTCAGGAAAAGGCCTTGGGCCAAAATTGTCAATGTCCCGTTCCAGGGAGCTTCATTCTGCATATGACCAGCAGCACTGTACCAGAGACGTGAAGCTAGTGTGGCAGTCTGTAGACAGAACAGCATCCGTCCCAGTACTTTGATGACCTTATGCATTGAGTGAGCCCACAGTTGGCTGCCAAGGCAAATGGGACGCCAGCTGATGATGCACAGCATCGGCGCTGTGTGTTCACAGCGCTATCCCTACTAATGAGGTAGGCTGCTGCGCTCCGCAATAGCTGAAGTTTCTATGGAGCTTTTATCTTCAGCTTCAGTGAGTCACAATAATCCAGCCTGGTTGTGCAGAACGTGCTCATCCCTACTGCTAGATCTGTGCCAAAGAAAAGGAGGCATAGCTTCTTGGACAGCCAGATGTAGAACAATTAATTTCTGACTATTTCTAGCATCTTGGTATCTAAATACCAGCTAGAGTAGAACGCTGCACAGAACTTAGAATGCTTTGAAAATGAAGGTCAAGTGCTTTCCCAGAGAAAAGGGGTCACTGCCTCTTCTAGTTCACTCAAATCACTCACGCTAGATACATTTCTATGCTGTGGCTTGGATACAACCTGAGCCAGTCTCTCTTGCCGAGTAATTTAACAGTGTCTTGTGATCTGCATGTCAAAATCAGGAGGAAGATCAAGTATGGATGTTAACATGATTTAAAAGGTACTTTGCAGTAGCAACAGCTAGAGACACAATTAGATCTCTTTCTTTGCTCGTCATGGAAATATAATGAAAGATTAGTGTAAGTAATTACATTACAGTGGTCAAAATAAAAGAGCTAAGCACTGCATTCTCTTTGGTGTCTGTACTCATTTGCAAGTTTGAAGTACAGTTCCTTAACAACCTAGCCGTGATAACGTACTGTGGAGGCTGTATTGTAGATCTACTTTTAGTATTCTATTTGCTTCTTATGAAACAAAACAAAATAAAAGCAGCACAAAACAGTACTTTACAATATACTTGGAATAAACACTTCTCTGAATCACCACAGCTAAACATTATGGCGTAGATGTAGGAGAAGATGGGTAGCATTTAGTACTTTGCATTAGAAGCTGCTAGTAAAGTAGCACCTCATAGGTGAGGTGACAGCTTAAAATGTTCAGCATAAATCTTCTTGGGGGCGGGGTGAAATCCCAGTCCAGCAAATTAATCCTTAAAGTGGTCAAAATCCCTCAACATTCCAACAGTGTTCCTCTGAAACAGCCTACTTTGTTAGTCAGTATTAATGCTTTTAGCAGCATCTGGAAGTAGCTCCTGGCTTTTTTACCCCAACAGATTGAAGCGAGGGAAAGAAATGGCTTTTCCCAGTGACAGA